ACACACACACTCAGTTTTTTATTGTCAATTCGCAATAAGCGCAAGGATCCTCGGTCGATCGATCCGCTCCTAATTGTACCTGGCAGTCTTTAAGCCGCGTCCACGAGAATATCTCTTTCTCTCTTGCTCTCCCTCCCTCTCTTTCTCTCTGTCTGTCTGTCTTTTTCTCTCTCTGTTATTATCTGTCTAATCACGCATGGAACCAATGTTCGTTCGGCTCGCATCGGCGAATCATTTTCGTCGTCGCAGCAAGCTCACGTGCCGCTATCGAAAACGGGGGCCGCTTGGAAAGAGCGCGAAAACTTGCGGGATAAAATATAAGCTGCGTGCGGTGTCCCACGTTTGCTCCGCTGAACGACGCTCTCGCTCGATGACGTATCTGCGCAGTTTGCGACATCGCAGAAAGCGTGAGCACCGCGTCGCAGGGCAGTGTTTGGACCGTTGGGTAGCCCCGCGATTTGTGACGGAAATTACGATAATTTTATTCAAAAAAACGTTACCTACGTTTTGGTATTTTACGAAACGGCCATCGGAATTATTTAAATATTATAACATAACAATTTAGAGCAATTATACTACGCTGACGAATGATATTTTATAACCTGAATTTATGCAAGTGCTTTTACGTCGGTGAATTACAATATTAATGTACTAATTGTAACAGAAAAATGACAGCACCATGAAAGTTTTTATGTGCCTATAGCACAATTTCAAATCTTGTATAACTGTTTACAATGTGCGTTCCCACATAGCACAAATGATTGTTTGCCGGCTGATAGTCGACATTTTTTGATCACCTTGAAGTCAACTTTTTAAGTCAACAATTTAGTCAACTATCTATAGGATGGTTTATTGTCGACATTTTCAGGAAGTTGAAAGTCACCTTTCGGTAAAGTGAAAAATGGACTAAAAAATATGTTTTCGTCTTACCGAAAGACATAAAAATCTTTTCGATATCTTCTTTCTTATTTTTCGGCAAAGTGCAAATTTAAAATATTTCTTCCTAATAGACGACAATCGTATCTGGACATGAGACAAGTAATATTTTTCGCGCGGCTACCGAATTAATACGATTTAATCTGTCGATTAATACGAGTTAATTAAGGAAACCTGTCCAATTTGTCAAAAATATAAAAGCATAATTAAAAAATGTAATATATACTCTGGTTTATTGTCTGCTTTTTTTATTAAGACATGCTCATTATAATTATTATTTAAATTTAATTGGAGCATTTTCAAAGACTTGATCAATATAATTTTATTATGTCTTAATTGTATTATATATTGTAAGTATTATGCAATTACAATATAAAAAATTTAATCAATCAAGTTTTCAAGATATACTATTAAACATTTAGTAGTTAATATAAATAACGTAAAATTGACTGAAAGTTGACTTATAATTGCCATAAAGTCGACTGCTAAGTCGACTTTTGGCTGACTGACAGCCGACTATAGTCGAGTCATTTGTCGACTATTAGTTGACCATAAGTTGACATTCAGCTTGACTTTGAAGTCGCCTTTTGACTTCTTCTGCCGACTGACAGTCAACTAATAGTCGACTTGGTGCTGTTTGGGTATACGTTTCAGATTGTAAAATTCCTTTTTTTTAGCGAAATTTGACGGTTTAAACTTGCAATCCACCTTTACAAAATATGTGCTGTTATAAGAAACTATACACTTATCCAATTTACACTAGACCGTATTTTCTCCGCGCACGTTGCATGGAATAATGTCGTCCCCGAGTAAAGAATACTCGCGGGGCGCCCAAGGCCGCCCGAGTCGACGTACGGTCCTGCCGGCAAAAAGAGGGAGGACGCGAGGTCTGATCGCTCCCGAGAGCGCACGCTTCTTTCAAATTTAACTCTTAAGGTGATCGCAACTTTCAAGTAACCGAGCCCGCCCGCCGTACACACAACGTACCTACAACGCTCGCGTGATATATTTGTACCCATAAACCGCCGCCGCCGTCGCCGCCATTGCTCGTGTGTGGCTCGTACTGTATGTACGTGCCTGCGTGGCACCAGCCTTCGACAATATGCTCCGGCAGCGAGTAAGCCAGCCGCAAACAGAAGCTCCATAATCCTCCGGGCGGATTATGTCTGCTGCTCAGCCACGCCGATCGTTATCGCGAGCGTTCTTTTTGTTTCCGTTCCGCAGCTGAGGAAAATGCGCCAAACTAATATTCACAATTGCAGGCTGTACACGCTGCACGGCGACGGTGCAGATTCCGATGTCGCAAATGAAAGCGCGAGGCGCTTTTTGTAGCCCATCTTTTTTTTCCCTCGTCTCGCGACGATCGGCCGCATGGGACACGTTCCTCCGTTGTTAGAAAAAAAATCGAATATGGCGGAGCTGCGCCAATTTTCAATCCCCCCCCTCCCCCCGGGCAAAAATCGCGCGTACGATCGACTCGCAATCTCAAGAGTGCGGAAATACGAAGCGTCGCTTCAAGGGACGCTAATTGTTTTGAAGCGAGAGCGTGGCAGCGCGGTGTTCCGGCGGAACCGGTCGAGTTTCGCGATCGATCCGCGCGCGTCGGCAGAACGCGGCCGAATGTCGGCGTCGGGGTTCGAGCGCGGCCGAAAAACGAATTGAATTCGCGCGCGATCAGCGGCGAAAGGGCCTCACCCCCGGCCCCCCGTTGTTCCGTCTTCTTCGGGAAGATCCGGCTAGGAACCGCGCGATAGGTGTGTCAATGGGTTAAGTTATTTATTGATTGGCGCGCGTTGCCCACCCCCGAGAATTATCCGAGGACGCCCATGGGCGCGACGATTCGATCGATCGCGCGAAAAGACCGACATCCGAGGCGAGAGAACGTGTACCGTCTAGCTGGAAATGCGTATCGCGACGATCGTGGCGAAGTCGGCCGCGAGCGCCTCGCTTCGATGAATCGAATCTACTGTGCCGTCGTGGGACGCGTCTACGCGCCAATCGTCGCCTACTTCGCGACGTAGTACGCGCGACACGAGCGTAGAGATCGGTCTCGCGTGGCCCCGCAGCGTCGAGAGGTCGCCTTGCACGTACTTGCCTTCTACACCACCTGCACTCGAGGCTAACGCTACCTCCGGCCGCTTTCCTTTTAGGAGACACAATTCGACGCAGGCCAACGCACTCGAGCGCCGTTTGCCAAAATAAAGTGGCAAAGATTCAAAGAAAATGATTCCGTCGGAATACCGGGAGCAGGTGCCGCCTTCGAAAACGCCCCCGACTCCAGTTTCCATTGACGTCGTTTAACTTTGGTCCCGTTTTAATTCATCCTTTGTCTCTTTCTAACTGCCCTCTTAGAAAAAAAAAACGAAGAATGTATCGAGCTAACTGCAAGATTAAAGTTAAATGACGTCGATGTAAAACGGGCTCTCTACTTCCGAGCAGAGTAGAAGAGTGCCGATAAAGCTTGAATCGAATTCTAAATGGAAAGCGACGCGTGTCGATTGTGCTCCCTAAAAGGAAAGCAGCCTCCGTCTCGCCTTTCGAAACGTCGGCGCGGTATAGAGCGGCGAGAGAGGCGGAAGAGGGAAAAGTGCAGGCGAGTACAGAAGGTGCGCGCGGCGACGCGACGAATCTTCCGCCGCGATCGATCGCGCCGCGCCGGGGCTACAAAAATGCCCGTGTATATCTACCACGCGGACGTGGGGCAACAATAGGCAATCCTCGTACGAAGCCCTGGATCTACGGGCCGACGGACGGGAGTAAAAATGCGCGGACAAGAGCGATCGTTAATCGCGCGAATCTGGCTTTCGAGATGCTCAATCGAGATGCCGCTATCGGAAATCGTTCGAATCGACCACGAGGGAAAACGCGTTGCCGCGAGCCACCGGGGACGAGATTTCTCGTAGAAAAAAAAAATCTTGGCTAATACGAACGCAATCCGATAGTCAAGATCTGTCGAAGGCAGATTTTGCAAATATGTTCGTTACGATTTTTACCAATGGAATGTCAATAGAAATGTAATGGAATCTGTTAACACAATACGATAGCACATTGGCTGCAGAAACCAAACAGAATTAATCAGTCGTCTCACAAATTACATATTTCATTTAATACCACAAATAGAGAATGTCATCTCTGTATTGATTTATATACTTTTTTTCTACTGAGTAATCTGCCGCTTATCCGTCAGTTTTGAAAGTTTTCCGTTGGAACAGTAAATTCGACAATTAAATTTATAATCGCGTTTATCTATAAATTATTTAGAGCAAAGTCCCCTATTGTGGGATAGGCTCTCACTATGGAATGGTGGCGTTTCTGCTAAATTAATAAGCATCATCTGTTGGTCCCACCATGAATTTATTGCCCTTGGAGTAAAGTCTGTTCAGTGGAAAATTGATTGTCAGATCGTGTAATCGTGGCGAAGAAAGATTTATGATTGAATTCGGAAGTTAAAAACCTATCTCATAGTAGAGGACTTTCCGCCTACATATAATTATTTTGACAATAAAATCATTTTAATCATTATAAACTTCGAATTGCAAATATGTTATTTCCTATCTAATATTGTTTCCTTTCCGTTCAAGAAATTATTCTTAAATAATAAGCGTATATTTTTCTTGATTGAATTATGTAAACTTGCCTCATTCAAGTAAGTTTTTCTTGCTTTGGCGCAATATAATCTCATTTCAAGATTTTCGCGTTGAAACTAAACACAATTCCAAAAGAACAATGTGCCGTTTTCTGTGCGCTAACGTAGGACTACTAACGTATATACATAAATCTATTAACTTTGTTTCACCCGCCGGGCTTCTGCTGGCAATCTACTAACAGAATAGATACTAACATAATAACAATCTGTTGCCAATATTCTGCCCGAACTTTGCATATTAGGAGAAGCGTCCGCACGACAAATCAATTACAATCTTTGTACACTTACAATATTCTCCAATTGAACCCCTTAGGTATCTTAAACATTCTTTCGGTGCATTTCTCGTTTCTGTTTAACGTACTATTCACACAATCGTCATACGCTCCATACCAAACTTATCTCTGTCGCGCAGAAAGGCAACTTTTACTCCCACAAGAAATCGTTAACATTTTTTATTGGCGCTTATCAGGGTTAGCAAGTACCTCGTTATTTGTAACGAAGTTACAGTTACAGTTACTTTTTCTCCGTCTGTAACTGTAACTTAACTCAGTTACATTTTTTCGATAACTAGCAACTAATTTAATAGTTACATCAATAATGACTTTATATATTATTTAAACCTCCACAGATTGCATTAGGTCTTGCATTTACAAATAAATTCTTTTGTCGGCACTTTATAATTCAAACGCAGATTTGATATTTTTATTTTCATTGCAAGAAAGCAACTGCAAAGTAACGATTCGTTACTTTTTAGAATTGGTAACTTGTAGCTGTAACTAGTTACATTTTTAGGGAAAAAACTGTAACTGTAACTAGATACTTTTATAAAGTAACTTTCCCAACCCTGGGCGCTTATGCATAAATTGATTGAGCGCGCGGCTCCATGTGAAAACAGCCGGCAGGTCCCGGATACTATCACAATCTCTGTACGAGGTTGATTGGAGAGAAGGTAGAGCGAAGGAGCTGTAAAGGTAATCCATCTCGGGAACCCATATATTGTAACTATGTATAAATTTATATTTACAATGTACATTGCTAGAAAAGTCTTATTCTACAAAAATTATAATCTAGATATAGACCGCTGCATTCCACAACTTTAGCGCTTTATACAATGTATATTCTTTTTTTTTGTACCTGAGGTCAACCACTTTCTGTATCCATTTGTTATACACTGTCTCATTGTTTTACATCTCATACGATAACGTATTTAGATTAGATTAGATTGGTCAAATACTCTAGCATCGACTAAATACGATAGATACCTAGTATTTTTTGTTCGCACATCTTTGTCGATTTATCGTAACTGCTAGGCAGCCGTTGGAAAAATACTTGGAATGCAAACGCTTCGTATTAAACTAAGGTACGCGAAGCGATGTACAGTTGGGTAGACTATGCGAAATGATGTTAAGCACATTTTAAGTTACACGACGTAAGGGGCTTCTCGCTGAATTGATTTGCTTTCCATATTATACGTGCTATATACAAGCGCAAGCGAAATCATTTGTCGACAATATACAAGTTCAATGTTAATTGTGATTGTAGAAAGTTTATTATAGACTTCGTATTCGGTTCAACAACTTCAAAGACACGTTATATTTCTCATCTCGATGTCTGACAATCTGTAACAGCTCGTAAATTATGTAGAAGCATAATTTATGGTAAAGATATGAAAGTACAATATGTATAAAATTCGAAATGGCGTATAAACTCCAACGACACTATAATCTTTGTGCTACGTTCAGCGCACCTTCGTCATCGCTATTTAATAACCAATACGAAAGAAATGACTAACGGGTCGAACGAAGAATGTCAAGTGTTAGAGGGCGCCTAACAATTAACATTCTTACTTGAATATTATGAATGATCGAAGGAAAATTACAATTACCTATTAATTTTCTGCAAAAAATTAATTTATATGTACACTTATTATACACTTATAAAGAGGAAGCAAGACTTATGTTAGGTCTACTATATTTTACAAATTCTTGCGAGCGTTTGAATATTGTACAGATAAATGTAATATGTTATACAGTTAATTGAATTAGAACTTTCAACATAAACAGCAAAACTCAGAATCTTATCTTTTAACTAATATTTATAAACGAAGTCACTTGAAGTTTTTCAGCATTTAATAAATCAAATTATTAATCATTAATCAGATTAAATCAACTTTAAAGTTCAGAAAAGGAGTAAATTTATATATTTATGATTACGAAGTTTTACGCGTGACTCAAATTATCTGTTTATTTCAGGAAAAAAAGTAGAGAAACTGACAAAAAATTAACTGGCAATTGAACAATTCAAATATAATTCTAATAATTCTATTATTAATATGACAAATTAATCTATGTCCTAAGTGTTACTAAATCTACCAGTATCTATTACTTTAGAAAGTTAAAATATTTTGACAAAAATCGGCTCTTTTAACAAAATTTACAACCATTTCTTGAATTAAACATTTAGAAGCATTTTTATCCTATTTGTACAATGACTTCCTCAAAAATTAAGAAACTTTTATGTATTCCAAACCTTTTTCTTCTGAAATATAAAAGATATTTGAAATTATAAAGTACCCCATTTAATATGTGTGCACATTAAGTGTGTATATGTATATACATATATGTATATATACGTATATGCATATATCTGTACATATTATCTGAAATAATACATGGAATAAATTAAAGAAACATTATGTGGAAAGCAAATTAATTGATGTATTCGCAAATTTTATGTGACTTGCTGCTATTTTTTTCTTGTCCTCAATCTTACTAAAACACAATTTATATATCTTTTATATGTGCATTAAGAGAAACAGAATTCATGCATTAAAATCGAAAATATGTTTATGTAAATATTGAAAAATATCTTGCAAGTAGGAAACTTTCGATTTCTTATAGATACGAAATGTGTTGATGAAAATTGTTATCTCGTATCTGTGGAAGAAAAATTCAGACACAAAAGAAAGGGATTTTAATATATTGTAAAAATATCTTATGTAAAAAACAAAGGTGTAAAGTCTTTTGATATAAATTTGATAAAAAAAGAAATTCCGATTTGAAAATTTTGAAGTATGAAACCTATGTCTGTACAAAATTACTTGGATACTATATGACTCGTGATGTTCTTGAGTTGTTGCTTATATATCTCCGCCTCCTTCACTTTTTCTTGTAATTGCTTACGATACTCGGCGGCTTGTTTTCGTGCTTCTGCTAATTGTTTATTCAGTATCGCTATATCAGTTACTAGCTCGCTGTTTTCTGGATTATTATCCTCGGTAATTTCTTCTATATCATCATCTAATTGTAACACTGTTGATTCCGCAATTTTTATCGGAGAACTCGCAACCTTCTGAAAACATCAAAAGTATGTATATTTATATTTGTTAACGATTTATTGTTAATTTCTATTTTACACCTAAAATATACAAGTAGTCTTACTTCCTTTGTCGAAACGGAATTCTTGATTTCACTAACGGTAGATGCTGTTGGAGCGCTGGAAACTGCTGTGATCAACAACTTGGTTGCTTTATTATCCATGACAGACTTTTTCAAAATATTCGGACTCCGCGATGTAGCGACAGACATGTTAGAATTCGGATTAAAAATTTTCGACTGAATTTGGTCTGCTCTAATTGCTATAACTTTTTTCGACGCTCCCTTCCGCGAGGCAACTTGGAGGCGTTTAATTGACGAGCCTTTTGTCAAATTCAACGCAATTTTTCCAGCTTCTGTAATCACATTAATAATCTTAAGCTGAGTATACATCTACAAACAAACACCGAACGAACAATACAGTTACGATAATTTATGGTATTGCTATATATGTAATACTTGAAGTATCACATATATGGGTATTATGAAGAGGAGCGAGCAGCAGCGAATCGAGCCGAACGCAAATCGAACATTCTGTTCGCATTTGCTTCGGCGTATACATCTGCTGAATTATAACATCAAACGTTCGCGTTCGCTGTTCGTCCGGTGTTCGTTTCGTAGATGTATATCCAGCTTTAGAATGATGCATTCTGAGATTAATAACTTTTAAATGTATATACAATGCGAACCTGTCAAGACCACTGTTCTCCCACTTTCCATTGCCTTCTCTACAATAGACGACTCATCCTCTACAGGTATCATTCTGATTCCATGTGCTTCTAATAACTTAATCTGCTTACCTATCGACGCAAGGTCTTTATGTTTCTTACTATTCATAATATTGTTCGCATTAATCATTTCAACATCTTCAATCTCTCTTTCCTGTTCGCAATCTGTATTGTTTGGCGATACAGAAATTTGTTGAAAGATCAATTTTTGTTTTTTCTCCATTTGCACTAGAAATTACGCGCGAGCGTACATGATTAAATTCAAAGCACAAGACTAAAACAATTGCAGGAAGAAATATGTCACCTTGCTTACCTTGGTGCGAAGCCTTACGTTTATGCTGCTGCGTTATTCCATACTTATGCTGTTCCTCTCCATGCATTATCGAACTTTTGCTATTTTGCTCCGCCTCTAATTGTACTAAATTATTTGTGGCTAATTCCAGTTCTGCAGAATTAGCCTGACTCTGTTGATGAGCTTGAATATCTATCAGCACTCTCTCCTGTTGCAATATATCCACTAAGTCCAACCTGTCGTGCTCTAACGCAAGACTGATTGGAGTTTTCTCGAATTTACTAGTTGCGTTTGTATCAGCTCCGTGATCCAACAGAACGTGCATCACATCCACGTATTCACGTTCCACTGCCCAATGCAATGGCGTCATCTTGAGCTGAAACCATTTCTTACATTAGCCGTCTCGCGCAACAAGCCAACAAACTCAATATCTCGAGGTCGTTTACACAACATACCATGTCTCTGCTATTGACATCCGCTCCATAGTTGAGCAGCAGTTGTACCATTTGATGATGGCCTTCGTACGCTGCCATGTGCAACGGAGTTCTGTCGACCTTTGTCCTAGCGTCCCTCGATATTCCTGCTCGAAGTAAAACTTCCGCAGTCTCTAGGTGATTGTTCTGTGCGGCGAGATGGAGCGCGCTTGTGCCGAGCTAAACAACAAGTGGGCGTGCTTATTTTTCCACAGATAAAGAAATCTACAAGGAGCCAAGCTTCTCTTCAGACATGCGAAAATACATACCCAATCGGTGGTGAACGGCGCGCCCCTGCACATGAGCTCGCGAACAGCCTCCGTGTCGCCGTTCTTGGCGTTCTGCAGAAGCTGCTTCCCAAGCTCCACCATAGTCGAGGCATCTTGCGGTCTCGAGTGAGAGGAGGCATCGCAAGCCAGGAATCCTACCTAACAGCAATCGCCGCAGGACCATTAGACACCAACGGTGGCTTGACGCAAGATCGGACGGCGTGTACCTTTCGTACACCCTCGACGCGCAAGAGGAAGAGGTAGAGAAAGGTACTTACTGGGATAAGAGTATCCGTGTCCAAACCCTCGATATCGTTGGGACATATGCTCTCCTGCACAGCTTGCATTCTTGAATGTCCAGCTCAGTCCCCTTCGTGCAGGCGTGCCCTGAAATCATATGACCCATAACCGTGGCGACCACCTTGGGATCTCGCCGTGCGATCCCGGTCGAGCCCGCGAGCGGCTGGATTTTCGGGCGACTGATCGCCGCCGCACGACCTTGGGCCAGCGCGATCCGAGAACGCGGGCCGTAAAAATAACGAGCTCGCCGCGCGGGGAAGCCCACATGCGGCTCGCGGCGTCCCGTCCCGTGGCGTGCCGCGTGCGCGCGCGATGCGCCCATTTCGCGTAAATCTCGGCATCGCCACAGGATGTTTTTGTCTCGCCGTCTCGGGGTCGCGATGAACTTCCTGTTCCTGTTTCGATCCGAACGGAAGTCCATGGCCATAGGCGCGTCGCGTGCCCGAAAAAAAAACTAGCCGAGCGCGGCGCGGGGCGGGACGTTATACTTACAGGCGGCGCATTATTCTCGCCCTCGTCGCGACCTTTTTCCGACGCTCCACCGACGGGCGCGCGGACGTCCGCTGGAATTCTTTCCCCGTCACAGTCTCTGCGATTTACGGTCACGGTAAAGTTTCATGAAAATGGCGGCGCATTGGCGCCATTCCTAGCACCGTCCGGCTCGAGCGGTAAGAGCGTTTCCCATGTGTGCGACTGGACACTGTCTGGACATAGAATGCCACCGTCGACATAAAGCATATAGATTGGACGGAATGGACTACTCATCGCAGTGGTGGGGGTACCGGCGCGAGTAGAATGAGAGGCGGATAATGACCTAGTTTACATCGTGCACTTGATACGCGTATCAAATAGTAAATAACTAGTAAATTCGTTTGGTCATTGGCTGATCAGTTCAAATACACTATTTGATACGCGTATCAAGTGCACGATGTAAACTAGGCCATTATGACCAATTAGAGTAAAAGTTACTAAACTCGAGATTAGTAAACTTTACTGTGTTTGGCCAAATTTCAATCTAATCCCAATTGATCCCAACCCAGTAAGCAAGAAAACATTAGTATAACGTTATTATAACGTTACTCAGTAACGTATAACGTTGTTCAGTATGTGGTTTTTAACGTTGTAATCAACGCCATTATGAACAAACTTTGACACCAATTTTAAGGTTATTACAACGTTGGAATGGAAGTGCCTTAAGGCTGGTATTACATTTGTCGTACGACAAAGTTTTTAAGCGTATTGATTGGCTGAAGGATAGTAAAATTCTCGAGTATCTAGAAACTTTCTATTCAGCGGCCAATCGACACGCTTGAAAAATTTGTCGTACGACAAATGTAATAGTACCCTAACATTGTGAATAATGTTGCACAAATGTTTTTTCTTATATATTCAATATAATGTTTCGTACATAACATTGAATAAATGTCCAATTCTTATCTTCCTTATCTCCGCAAAACTAACCTTCTTACCACTCCTATCCTCCCCTAGGTCCAGCTTCCTTTGCTTATCATCCTTCGTTCCCTTGCTAGTCTTCCCTCCCCTTCCTGACATCTTTTATATCCTATCTTATATCCGGTCGATTTCCTACCTATTCTAACCTCACTTTACGCCCGCCTGCCTATTTTTGTCTTTCTTACCTCTCTCCGCACGCTCTACTTTCCGCCTTCATTTCTGCCGCCTCTACTCGCTTCTCGCTTTGGTCTCCCTACTCTCTTCTCTATCTTTGCAATACTTATCTCTCTAAAATACTCTTACAAAGTATCCGCTCTCATTCACACAACCATTCGTCCACGCGTCACCTAACCAAGTCCATAATATATAATTATAATGTTTCAAAGGAAACATTATAACAACAGAAAAATTTTATTGCTAGAACATTATAGTCTAAAAATAAAATTTGTAACAAATTGGAAACATTGCATCTATGTTGCATTTACGCAAATAAAAATGTTAAACTAACTAATAGAAAATATAATTAAACTAATATTTTCACAACGTTTCTATGATATTAAAAAATGCCATATTATAAAATAATATTATAATTACAATATTTATAAAACATTATAGAAAAAGTTAAGAAAGTTTACATGGAATTAATGTTTCAAAATGTTGATTTAATGTTCCTTGCTTATCTCAATCCGTAGTCTGATACGGGCTTTGGGTGCAGTAGGGAAAGGGAACGAGAGATTCAAAATATTTAGATTGTCCACCAATCGGCTTGCAGCTTTTATGGAATAGCTGCAAATTGATTGGCTACACATTTCTCGAAACTAGAACTTGGACAAAGTTCTGGCATCGTGAACACGGGTTTTTAGGATGTTTCCAAATTCGCAAAATATGTATAGGGCTGGCATTCATAGTCGGATCTTATATTTAAGACAGTCTTGAATTTATCCAAAGATGCTGTATGGAAAATTATCTAAAGATGCTGCATGGAAACACTTCATTGGCTACGGAGTATCTAAAGGCCTTATGTCTACGATGCTAGAACTTTGGTTCACAACGTTTCGACCCTTTAATCAGGTCCTTTTCAAGTGTGTTCTATAGTTGTCGAAGTAGCGTAATTTTCTTAACCGAAAACAGAGTGAGTCTGTGGTTGCAGTTTCATCTGGTCACACGTGTTTCGGTAGTCATTGGATTGTCTATCTTACTAACGTCTGTAGTTATAAAACTGGCCAATCACGATTATTCCTCAGAAGAATGGGATGATTGTGATTGGCCAGCCCTTAACTACAGTTGTTATTAAACTCGATTAGAGTGCCGTGTAAACATAAGGCTTGTTTTCTGTTGTTACACTGGTGAACCAGTGCAATAAATTAGAGTAAGACGAGTATATTTTTTCTCATTCTAGCTTACTGCACTAGTTCACCAGTGCAGCAATAGAAAACAAGCCTATAGTCATTGGGTCGTTGTTTCGTTCAAATTCAAATCGTGCCTTGCCACGCATGCGTCGATCGTCTCTGTCGCCGCGCCGACCGCGTGGCTTGGCGTGACTATCGGTCGAAACGGGATGGTTTTCGGGCCGCGATCTCTGACTATGGCCGGTATTCATAGTTCAAGCGTGGCCGTGTCGATCCTGTCGCTGGATCGGGAGCCAACAACCAAACCAGACCAACAACATCATAGTTCAAGCTTAAGTTTCAAGACGATCTTACCCCTGTTTCACAATGTTAAGTAAGCTGTAAGCCTTAAGCCGTAAGAAATTAACCAATCGCAGGTAAAAGTGAGGAGAATAAATGCCTGTGATTGGTTAATTTTTTACGGCTTAAGGCTTAAGTGGCCATCTACAACAGAGATTTACACAGTCAAGTATGAGTAGAATACGTTCTAGCATCATGAACACGGGCCTTTAGGATGTTTCCAGATTCGCAAAATATAGGGCCCGGCATTTATAGTCAGATTTTATATTCAAGACCGTCTTGAATTTATCTAAAGATGTTGTATGGGGCATTTTATTGGCTATGACATTCTTGAATATAAGATCTGATTGTGAGTATACTAGCCAACTTCTCTGTGGTTCATGATTAATTCGCATTCTTCCAAAAACTATTCTTTTATTTTATTATTCTGTTGATTACAAATGTCATAATTATGATATGATTTTCTTTTTATATTTTAGCTGTAAAAAATAACACGTTGAAAAGAATATGTAATTTATGATTATTCCGAGAGAGGTCTCTGTAATCTCTCCCGTCGACCATTTGAATATGTCAAATTATACTAATTCCATATACTTTTCAGGTTTTATCCGCTTTATCCTCTTCTTGAATTTTTACCTGCAGAAATTCTGTTAATTTTAGAATTCTACAGTTTTTTTTACGAATGTGCATTGAATCGTAAGATATTACTGTTCGTATCATATAATTTTATGGCACTAATTTGCAAGAAATCAAAACTATTTTAACAAATAAAAACATATTATAAATTGTTGTCACCATGTACTAAATATTTAAGAATTTTTTATATTTACTGAAAGATCAATGTATATACGATTGAAAAATTCCTTGAAATCTTTACTCGTGTTTGTGTGAAAACAAAAATTGATTTTGTTCTCGGTTTATGAACGAAGTTTTACTAAATGCCTCAACGGTGTCCAGTTTACTTGCCCGATGCAGTGCATCGATGTGCTTTAATCAAGTGAATACATCCATGCAGAGTTCGGTATTTCCATCTGATTATCGAAGCTCAGTTCACTCTGCGCGTTCTGCCAATCACTGGTAAACGAGAGTCTCTCGCACAGATTCGAGGGGATTGTCTGAATGCCTGATCAGTATCTAATCTAGTGAGCCGTGCGAAAATGCCTAAAATAACAATGATGAGAATTATTAGGTACCCGTCATTTTTATGTTCTTATCATCTCAAAATAATGTATGCGTCTTTTTACGATGTGAAATCCATACATTTATTATTAAAATCTAAAATTATTATATTAGCGAACTCACATTATTATGTCAGTCGAAATATGATTTTATTACAACGTTAAGTTGAAGAATTATAATAATATCGATGTGTAATTTAATCAGCTATTGCTTTTTTACAATGTTTAACACAGAGCGCATTTTCATGTAGTATCCAAAAATGGAACGTGGAATTACGACCCATATTTGGGATTAATCTGTCAAAATAATGAAATGTTTTTTTCGTAATTCGACTGCAAGACTAATATATTGCGATAAGTATTGAAATAAGAAACTCTAAGATGTACAGTCAATAAAAAAATAAGTAATGAAAGTTACCGCTTGCACAACAAGATTTGCGTTCGTGTTGACATCGTTACCCAGTAAATACCAACTAATAATTATATAACATCAACATTATTTTCCACTTATTATAATATAAATGTAATATAATGCATGTTGTACATAACAATTACATGTTGAATAAGAAAAATATTTATGTAATTGTTTGTTGGTGTTGCTGCATGGAGGGAAAAAGTTCAAACTGCCCTAACTTATGTACTTTAAACCGATTCTATTTATTTTGACCTTTGCTGAACAAAAGCCTCAATTGTTAGTCAAAACGCGAGTTTTGAATATCGTTAATAAAGCTGCTCGGTCATCGAATAACTCGATTGATTAATTAATTGATTCATGAGCAAATTTGTCGTTTGCGTCCTGTCAATCGCGTATTGGCTTTCTTATCGCCTGTTATTTTTTTTACATTTTACCAGGGTTGGGTAAGTTATCTTTCTTTTTTAACTAAGTTAAGTTAAAGTTAACAGCCTTGAAAATTTAACTTAGTTAAGATACAAGTTAATCCATAATAAAATTAATGGAATTAAAAGTTAAGTTAATAATAAAAGGAAATTAAAAAGTTAAAAATTAAATTTGTTTTGTTTTGATATCAAATCTCAGAGACTCGCGATTACGTAAATTGCGTTGAATTTCACGACCAGCATTTGGACAATCAATCACAATACACGAAATATGGCCCATTTCATATGTGAACAATTTCACGTGATTTCGAGAATCAAAACCCCATGTAATGGCTGTGTTCCAAAATTCATTGTCAGCGTTGAAGATCTACAGTACACGTAACGTGTATTGTAGATTTTTAGCGCTGGCAGTGCATTTTGGAACACAGAAACTACCAATGTAGGCAGACGCGCGGCGTCTTGTAATGCCTTTGTTTATAGCACGGCTAACTTTAAGAAAGGTAAATTAAAAGTTAAAAGTTACCGATAAAATGCAACTGCATTCAGTTGAAAGTTAACCGGCTATAAT